CTCCCATCGCCACCTACAAAACAATAACCTATCTTATAAATGTGGACTTAACATGATGTAAGCTTTTTTTTCTTGTGATAATAATAAATAAGTTTCTGAATGTGCACATAAAATTCTTTTTATGATGTCACTAAAAAGACCTTGCTCTACAAAAAATTTAAAATCCTCACAAAATTGAAAACTTTTGTTTTCCCCTAAAGCTATGCATTGCAAAAATAATTGTTGAACTGATGCATAGTCATCAGGATGCTGATGAAATACAGTATACTACGGGGGGCAATTACTTACTGTGACCAGGTTTTCTTTACAAATGGGGTCAAGGGTAATTTTTAATTTGCACATGATTTCCTCAAAGTCCTTAGCATTGATGTAGCCTGTGTCTCCTTTATCTCGCCTCCGAAAAGCTTGTAAAGCGTGTTCCTCATGAAAATCCTTATAAATAAAGAGATATTTCATAGAATCTTGTCATTAGCAGGGATTTATCAAGCTGTTTTTACTACCGGTAAACGTATTCCCCCCCTCTTGAAAAAGGTCAAAAATTCCCCTTTTTCAGATAGAAAATTCCCCAATTAAACGGAGAATATTTAAAACATCGTTATGAAATTTTCCGTTTTTGTCCGATTGAAGTTTTACAGCTAATTTACCATCCTAGTCATTCAAACGCTTTTAAAAGAAAGAACAATCGGTAATCCTCGGCTGACTCCACTACGCTCCATTCAAACCTCGGATGTGATAGGTGGGGAATCGCAAAAGATCGCTACATTTATCCGCCGGAAACTGCCTTGTCACTCTTTTCATATTTCCTTGCCTAGAGTTCTTAGAAAATTTTTCTTTATTAGTGTAATTCCTCGTATTAATTACAATCAAGTGTTAGTATTCTTTGAAATTAAGAACAGTGTTGGGCGTGCATCAAAGTAACTCGGATGTCAAAAGTATGATATCTGAATGAAATTCAAATAAGATCACATGACTGAATCTGTAAAATGGAAGATCACCGTTGACGTCCGAGGTTATGTGCGAGGTTCGAGTCATCCGAGGAACTCCGATTGAAGAAAGAATATATTATTAACTTTTATTTGATATTGATCGGTAAACATGTGCCAAGTCCATGATGTGAAAGATACGCGTGCGATTGCAGAGTTAAAAAGAAAAGTGTAGATGAGTAAGATGGAGCTTATATCACTATAATTGGAAGAATGGAGTAACAACAAAAACAATGTTAGTAGTGAAACATGAAAAACAGAATTGATTTGTGATAGATATTTAGAGAAAAAATTAAATAAATCCTGACCTGGTTAATTTTTTTTTGTGTGTTTATTTAGTATTTTGCCTAAAAAGTGAAGTTTTTGTGGCCTTTGTAAAGGTCAACAAATGACCCTAGAAGCTTAAGAATGCGGGTTTTGCTCCATTTAGTTAAAAATTTGGGGGGGGGGGGGGGGGGGGGGGGGGGGCTGCCCCGGCCCCCCCTAATTTCGCGCCTCCGGCGCTCGTGAGCCTGCGGCTCTTTTTTTTCCCTTTACATATAAAACGGTAGTAAAACAAAATAGCTAGATAAATCCCTGTCTAGACGATAAATTACAATTATCTCTATAATAGGAATTAAAAGCAGATAATATACTTACATGAATTAACTGTGTAAACTCTGGATATGTAATTTTTCTTTGCTTGTCTTTCCCAAAGTGAAGTTTTATAAACTCGCTCTGAAGTTAAATGGTATTTCCCTGTTCAGTGTTGTGTGTTTATGATATCTTCAAATTCATCTACAAAACAAAATACATTGTTATATAACATGTATAAAAAAGGCTAAACAAACCAATAATTGCTAAAACACAATATATGACCCCAAAATATTTAATTTTATTTCATTTTTGAAAAAAATATATGCCACACTACTTTAATCACAATTTCAATAAAACATGTAGCAATACTATAATTTACTTGCAGTTGTGATGCAAATATTTTAAGCTAATGCCACCTTGACCTCAAATCACTGTTACATCATAACCTAGCAGAACACTCACCGCAGGAGAGATACCCATTTCCATTTCTGTCAAACACCTGGAAGGCCAGCATACATGGCATCAGGCAGGCACAGTACAGCCTCAAAAGCCTGGAAAACTCTGTAAACGAAATCTTCCTGCAAAATAGTCCAAAATATCCTATCAAGAAATTTATAGATATATAACACAAACTGTATATTGTCGTTGAGTGTCTAGCTATCAAATGCAGCCATTTAATGTGTTCAGATCCTAATTAAATCAGATCCTCTTGTATCTTTTAACCAAAGGGGAGCAAAAAGGATCTGATTTTTTTTCATTTTGAATATGTGGTTAAAAATTCAATCCTTTACAACTGATCATAAAGTTTAATCAAATATTTATCAGTAACAAGAACCACTTCTTTATACAGCAAGTGATGAAAGGAATGAATTTTATACACCAAACTTTTTTATTATTATCAATAGATGTACAATTGTCAATACCTACCCATCTCTAGAAGTGTCTACGCTGGAAGCAAATAATTTGAGGGTGAACTCATCGCAATTCTCGCCCAGAAAGTTTAAGTACTTCTGAATAAGATCTCTATAGGTCATATAATGTTCTCCATCCTCCACAACACTGGCATACTGCCAAAGTAAAAGAATTGCCATCAAGAAAATGTAAATTTTGTGTAGGTATGACAGTACCAGGATGGGATTTTTTTTCACTTCAAATTTACACACCACCTAGGCATTTGAAACTTATTTGCGAATGTTACACTATATATGAAGAACAAATTCTATCATTAAACTGATATTCGAATGCATAAGACAATAATTTAACAATAGACTGTAAAACTTTTTAAGTTCTTCCTTACTTTCAAAAATATTTCCTTCAGTTGCTCTGGATCTGCTCGATTAAAAACTTCCACCTAAAATTTAATTTAAAAATTAAATTCTTTTCTTCATATTGAGTTTTAAAATTTGTTGAACTGAACTGAGACAAGTTTTGTTTACCAACGGGAAACAACTCTTTCAAGGTAACAAGTCATGCCCTTCAAGTTCAACACATCATATGAATAACATGCAAACTAGAAGAAAAAAATAAATCGACACGAAAAATATACAATTTGAATGTAAAAGAATTATTTCCATCTCACCTTTCTGTGTTCACATTTTGCAGTTTTGATGGGCCAAACTTTGGAAACAATTTCAAAGGGATGCTGAAAATAAATTAAGATTACAGTGAACGTAGTGCTGTTTGATAATTTAATATTTATATTTCAGATCAAACTACATTTGATATCTTTGCCGTTTCACTCTCACGGGTAGATTTAATAATCTGCACATATATTCCTGCAAAACATGAAACTCGCGACCACTCACGTCTTTGCCATTAGCCGCCATGTCTCGCTTACAGAAAAGATCATGCCCTCAGATTCTTATGATTGGTTATCCTCTTTTCGAATTCCGTGATCGCAGCAGACGTGTCAAGGTCAATTTAATGACAACGATCCTAAATCTTAGAGGAGTTTCGAAAAGCAATACTTTCGGAACTCATAAAAATGGCGGGTAAGTCAATATTGGAATCTCATTCATTTTTTGACAGAAACTGTGCCTGCGATGAAAATAATTTAAAACTCTATTATTAAAATCGAGATATAATCATTTCACTTATTCTGTGGCATATGAATGATGTTATTATATTCATAACTTTGTTGAAAAAGATACTTGTTAATTTCATTTAATTCGAAATTCCTCTATTTTATCAATATTGGACCTAAACCAGAGGGATAAATTCACTATTGTCATTCTAAATAATAAAGTAACTATTTCAAAGCTGTACCTGCCAGTACAAAAACGCCGTACCAATCATAGTCACTGATGTAAGAAATAGTGAAATATTTATTATCAGCATTTGCTGATGTCTTTCCTTTCATCAGGTTGGGCACAACCTACCAAATGGTACATTATCCCCCGTTTGGTAGACAATTTACCATATCGGTAACAAATTTTACTGACCAAACGGGGGACAAAATTGGTTGTGTTTAATTCCATGGAGTGGAGTGGAATAGATAGAACAATCTATCATTAAAATGATACTGTCCTACGGACCCGGTTTAACGAAAGAATTAGTTCCATGTATTCGTCAATGTAGCAAAATAAACGCCGGCGATAACTCGTACTCAGTGCATTTACTTCGAACAATCCAGAGAGTTCTGATTGTAAACATGGCAGGTAGATTTGAAGTGAGAGAAAAACGTTGATAAAATTAATTTGATTTTCGTCTTCACATGGATTATTTTCTGGGATAAAAGGCATAAACAATCTCAGAAAGGTTTGTTTTGATTAATTTGGTAGTTTTTTCCAGTGCAAATCCTTTTATATTCTTCAAAATCGTTTTGGAGCGGATCCGCTCCGATTTGCTACATTGCAAGTATATGGGACGTATTCTAACTGTGGTGAGGGCTTGTATCGAGACACAGTTACAGACCCTAAACCGTGCTACTACACCACTTGAACGGTAAGGTTCGGTACGCTTTGTGCACGGACCGGTACGCTTTGTGAAAGGAACAGTTCGTTTCGAGAACGGTACGGTATGCTTTGTGCACGGTACGGTACGCTTTGTGCATGGAACGGTACGCTTTGTGCACGGAACGGTTCGCTTTGTGCACGGAACAGTACGCTTTGTGGACGGTACGTTTCGTTTCTTGCACGGAACAGTTCGTTTTGTGAACGGTACGCTTTGAGAAACGGTATGCAAATAAAGTGGGCGGAGCCTGTTAGCTTTAATTCTTGATTGGCTGCTAAAAATTTATTCATTTTAAATTACTTTTGAAGTACGTAATGCATGTATAGTTATATTTCAGCTATTAACAAATTAATTTCTCGGTTTCGATTTAAACATTTTACACTACAGCGGTGATGGAGGAAAAATGAAAAAAAAAATAAGAAAAGGAAGAAAAAACATCATCCCACCGATGTCTTTGGCATTATGTACAGATATGTATTAATATACATAGAATTCGTAAATATTTCCGTATTTAATTTTTACGTATGCCGACCCTTCATTTGAAAAAGGAAAAAAAATTAAATGAAATATTTTTTCACTTTAAAATAAAGTTATAACATAATTAAAAGGATTTAATATATACCGGGTATATACTTGTTCTATACATATAACGCTTTGCTCATATAAAAATTATTTTTAATTGATTGATCTATAAAAATAAATATGACTATTCCTGCTTCATTTTATTCCAAGTAATTAGATATGTAAATTGTTTTTTTTTTTGAAATTGTAGATCTATCACTTAAACGTTTGCTTCAGAAGAGAAATATCAGTATTAAAACAAAATAAATACAAAAATCAGCAGCAGACACACGAAATTAAAACAATAACTTCCGAGCGCTTTCTCGTAACAAAAACATTCTTTTCACTTACAAGTATTTATGTTTTCAATAATCCTTTCAGTGTATTAAGTAATTATTTTTAGACATTTTTCTTTATTTTATTAAGTTATTCTATTCTTGTAAAGTCTGTAAAAACAATGTCGTTAGAGAGAGAGAGAGGATAGAGAGAGAGAGATGCAAACCCTTAATACATGTGCATTATCTGTAAAAAAAAAAAAACAAAAAAACAAATTTGTATTTAATCTCATTCTTTCGTTTTATTTACATCGCCAAAGTCACAATTAATCAGTCTATGATTCAATTTAATCAACCAATTTACAACTATTGTGCAATGAATAATCCGTTCTCTGTACATGCATGCTGCATGCATGAAATCCTCGTGCATCATCTGTCAATCAAAATGGCATGACGCTAGGTGACCCTGAAAGTCTGTTTACACAGGAAGAATTTCTCCTGTGATTTGAAACATTCTTTTGGTCAGTTCATAGTTCACACCTGTCTAAAAAAATATTGGGTCACAACCGGAGAAACAGGGGGGGGGGGTTTAACACACCTTTCGAATTATTTAATTCTGACCACATCAAGTGTATTAAATCACTCAACAGACATCCAGCAAACTCATCTTCCAGGTTTCACCACAACACTGATTACAAAGAACTTTACTTCGTAAATTATCCCTTTTCAGACAAAAATAAATAAGTATGTATCCCTGAATTATAATTTTTTTTTTTTTACGAAAGCACAATTTAAAGCCACATAAATTCGCATAAGTATCGCCTTCTATAGGGAGGGGGGGGGGTATCAAACATAATATGGCTTGAAAGAGGATTGATATATTTTTTTTTTGATTTCATTTTATTTAGTAAATTATTTTTTTTCAGACACTAATAAAAATGTTTCCTGTAGATTATGATTTTTTAGCTCTACTGGTCAGAGACCAGAAGAGCTTATGCGATAGTAATGCGTCCGTCGTCCGTCCGTCTGTCTGTCTGTAAACAATCTTTCAAAATGCTACTCCTCCTACAGTTTTGGTCAGATTTCAATATAACTTGGCACACAAGTAGACTACACTAAGATACATAATTCTGTATATCGGTTTTTGATTTCAATGAACGATATTGCCGTGGTTACTAAAAATAGAAATTTCTTAGAAATTCTTTCAAAATGCTACTCCTCCTACAGTTCTGGTCTGATTTCAATATAACTTGGCACACAAGTAGACTACACTAAGATACATAATTCTGTTTATCGGTTTTTGATTTCGATGAATGGTGTTGCCGTGGTTACTAAAAATAGAAATTTCTTAGAAATTCTTTCAAAATGTTACTCCTCCTACAGTTTTGGTCTGATTTTAATATAACTTGACACACAAGTAGACTACACTAAGATACATAATTCTGTGTATCGGTTTTTATACGCCCGTCTTAAGACGGGACGTATATAAAATACATGGTTACTGTCTTGAAATATAAGCGATATTTGGGCGAGGGTAAGAAAACATGATAGAGGGCGAGGCTTGCCGAGCCTTCTTACGTTTTCGACCCGAGCCCAAATATCGCTTATATTTCAAGACAGTTATCATGTATTTTGTTTATCCTGCAACAAAATTTTACATTTGAACGTCCAAAACAAGCTAATTCCGACAGATTTAAGCACATCTCTGCAGTTGAAACTATGACGCCATGGCGTAAACATTGCAATATACATGACGTCACAATGCTTTTGGAACGTCGGAATACATGCACGAGGCTTTATTAGGGCAGTGACGGGATAAAGCTTTGGTTTATTAGGTTACCTTTATTAGGTCAATGCAAGGGGTAGTTGCAGGATAAATTATGTTATAGGCTTCGTGTCCGTCCGTCCGTCTGTCCGTCTGTCCATTCCTGTCCGGCTCATAACTTGAATACTATTAGGCCTAGGATTATCAAACTTTGTCAACTCATACTTCTTGGGTAGACGGTGTGTCGCGCACAAAAAGTAGGTCGCTCTGACCTTTAATAAAGATGCTATAGCCAAATATGGAAAAATCCTGTCCGGCTCATAACTAGAAAACTATTAGACGTAGAGCTTTCAAACTTGGCAAAAGTATACATCTAAAGTAGAAGGTGTGTCGCGGCCTATTTCAAGGTCACTGTGACCTTTAATTATAGTGAATTTTTTTTAAATACTAAGTCTTTTAAATTCTAAATTTCATAGTCCTAAAAAATGTAAAAATATAGTTGTATGCTTATTAAAAAATGTTAAATTAAGTAAAAACTTGTTTTTTCTTTATATACTTTACAGCAATCTGTAACAAATGTTTGTGCTTTGAGAGGAATTCAGTTTGCCCCATGGGCTTAATTATCAAGCACTGGTCAAGAAGAATTTTGATAGCAGAAATTTGCATGTCAAATTAGAGAGAAATTAATGAGTTTATTGTCAGGAGCTAAGAGCACCTCTAGATCTGGTGCAGTAGTTATCTTAATTCATCTCTTGGGAGTTGTGCAAAACGAAATGGCCTCATAGTTGCTTGTGCTAATTAAGAGTTCTTGATGGCTAGTCAAGATAAAGATCTTTCAATATAGGTGTAATGAAATTAAAACAAATTGATGTTTTAGTGTATGATTAAAACTAAATTAGTATTGTATAATATGATTAAAACTAATTATATATGTGTTCATTTAAAAAAAAAAATTAAATTTCAATTTTTATATATTTGCAACAAAGATGCTATAGCAATATATGGAAAAATCCTGTCCGGCTCATAACTAGAAAACTATTAGACCTAGAGCTTTCATACTTAGCAAAAGTATACATCTCAAGTAGAAGGTGTGTTGCGGCCTATTTCAAGGTCACTGTGACCTTTAATTAAAATGAATTTTTTAAAAAAAACTATGTCTTTTAAATTTTAAATTTCATAATCCTAAAAAATGTAAAAATTAAGTTGTATCCTTATTAAAAAACATTAAATTAAGTAAAAACTTATTTTTTTATTATATACTTTACAGCAATCTGTAACAAATGTTTATGCTTTGAGAGGAATTCAGTTTGTCCCATGGGCTTAATTATCAAGCACTGGTCAAGAAGAATTTTGATAGCAGTAATTTGCATGTCAAATTAGAGAGAAATTAATGAGTTTATTGTCAGGAGCAAGAGCACCTCTAGATCTGGTGCAGTAG